AGAAACTGCGTTGTTCTTCTCACGTGACCCATTTCCTCAAAGGAATAAGCTGGGCAGGAAAAAAAAAATCTCTGCTGGAAGAAATTCCATTTAGTCAAGGAAGTACAATGAGTTGTGACAAGGGTGACACTGTGGCGGAGGGTCACCCTTTCCCCACCCTTTCCCCGCCTCCCTGGTGAAAGAATGCAAGAAAGCCAGGCAAAAATAAATAAATGAAATGGGGGCCTTTTCGAAGGGTGACAACACAATAGGAAATTTATAACAAAAAGGTCTCCTGGCCTAACCTCCAGTAACATCCAGCGCCCCCCCGACTGGGACAGACGCTCCGCTGGGGCTGCCTGCGTAAGAGGCAGCTGACATCGTAAAGGCGTCTTCCCTGAGCGCCTTTGGCCAGGGGTTCACGGGACCGGCTGCGTCCCTCAGTGGGGAAGGAACTGCAGGCAGAGGTGAAATGCTGGGGAGATTTTTAGTTTGATGAAAAGAGATAATACTTCATGGGAAGGAGAAGGATGGGGAAGAAGGAGAAGGAGGAGAAGGGGATGGAAAAGGAGGAGAAGGGGATGGGGAAGAAGAAGAAAAAGGAGGAGAAGGATGGGGAAGAAGGAGGAGGAGAAGGAGGAGAAGGGGATGGAAAAGGAGGAGAAGGGGATGGGGAAGAAGAAGAAAAAGGAGGAGAAGGATGGGGAAGAAGGAGAAGGAGAAGGAGGAGAAGGGGATGGAAAAGGAGGAGGAGAAGGATGGGGAAGAAGGAGGAGGAGAAGGGGATGGAAAAGGAGGAGAAGGGGATGGGGAAGAAGAAGAAAAAGGAGGAGAAGGATGGGGAAGAAGGAGAAGGAGAAGGAGGAGAAGGGGATGGAAAAGGAGGAGGAGAAGGATGGGGAAGAAGGAGGAGGAGAAGGGGATGGGGAAGAAGAAGAAAAAGGAGGAGAAGGGGATGGGGAAGAAGAAAAAGGAGGAGAAGGATGGGGAAGAAGAAGGAGGAGAAGGGGATGGAAAAGGAGGAGGAGAAGGGGATGGGGAAGAAGAAGAAAAAGGAGGAGAAGGGGATGGAAGAGGAGGAGAAGGGAAGGAAAAGGAGGGGATGGGGAAGGGGAAGAAGGAGGAGGAGGAGAAGGAGGAGAAGGGGATGGAAAAGGAGGAGGAGAAGGGGAAAGAGATGGGGAAGGAAAAGGAGGAAGGGGTTAAAAAAAAGTCAAAATAGGCAATCACAATCACATAATCCCTACCTTCTTTTATGTCATGAAAAAACCATAATTACATTTGCTCATTTTTACAGAGGGAATTTAAAGTCGCATTTTAAAGCTTTCTGTACAGGGAGTCCTCAAATTACCACAATAGAGCCCCACATTTCTGTTACTAAGCGAGACAGTCGTTAAGTGGATTTTGCCCTATTTTATGACCTTTCTGGCCACAGTTGTTAAGTGAATCACTGACATTCTTCGGTTAGTAACACAGTTGTCCAAAGTATCTGCATTCTGATCACGTGACCACAAAATGCTGCAATGGTTATAAGTGTGAAAAAGTCCCTTTTTTCAGTGCAGTTGTATCTTTGGTCACTAAACAAAACTGTTGTAAGCCGAGGACTACCCGTATTGCAAGTCCCGCTAATCAATTATTTAATCACGGATCTTCTAAAATTGATTGATGGATTACTGTGTTTGTGCCGCCAAGTCAGTGTCAACTCTGAGTGACCACATCAATGGCTTATGCCAGTGATGGCGAACCTTTTAGAGACCGAGTGCCCAAACTGCAACCCAAAACCCACTTATGCGTCCTCGGGTGCCGGGTGGGTGTGGCCCATTGGGTGGGTGTGGCCCATTGGGTGGGCGTGGCTGCGGTGGTAACGGCAGACTGGGTGGGACTAAAAAGTTCAATCAATCAATTTCGACTTTTGCAAGATCTTTTTTTTTCCCCCGTGAGAAGTTGAAATTGACTGACTGAACCTTTTTTTTTTTTTTTGCACAGCAGCGGAGGCCTAAAGCGAAAAGGTTTTATAAAACCCAGCTGAAGGCGTAGGACTGGGGCGACGGCGTGCGTGCCCACAGAGCGGGCTCTGAGTGCAGCCTCTGGCACCCGTGCCATAGGTTCGCCACCACTGGCTTATGCTGACCATGCTGGCTCAGGAATTCTGGGAGTTGAAGTCCACAAGTCATAAACGAGCCAAGGTTCCCCACCCCTGGGCTAGGATGTATGTGGGTTTGCAGCTACAGGTAGTCCATGACTTACAACAGTTCGTTTAGCGACTGTTCAAAGTTACGACATCACTGACAAAAGTGACTTACGATCCTTTTTCCTGCTTACAACCATTACAGCATCCCCAAGATGACAATATCAAATTTCAGACGCTTGGCCACTGACTCGTATTCATGACGGGCGCAGGGTCTTGGGGTGACGTGATCCCCTTGGCAACCTTCTGACAAGCAAAGTCAATGGGGAAGCCAGATTCACTTAACAACGCTGTTGCTAACTTAACAATTGCAGTGATTCACTTAACAACTGTGGCAAGGAAGTTCGTAAAATAAGGCAAAACTCACTTACTGAATGTTTCACTTAGCAACAGAAATTGTGGGCTCAACTGTGGTCATAAGTTGAGGATTCCCTGTATTTTATTATATTTACCAGTTATGTTAGCTTTTAATGATGTACAGGAAGTCCTCAGCTTATGACAGATTGTGTAGTGACCATTCAAAATCACAACCCCCCCCCCAAAAAGAGGGACTTACGACTCAGAAACTTGGATGGCCAGGCCCCTCGCAGCCGTATGGCTGAACTTCAAGCGCTCAGCAACCCAGCTTGGTTTTAATGATCACTGCAAAAAGAGTTGTAAAATCAGCTAAGTCACACGACCAAACTATTTTATGATTGTTACAACATTTGACTGTAATGGGAAGACTCCATTTTGGATGTACATTGAGGATTGCCTGTAAAAATGGTCATGTTACTCTTAGCCATAGTGTTTTACTTTTGAATCTGTTTAAAAAGATGCAGGAGAATTTAGTTGGTGTAGTGGTAAAGATGCTGGCTAGAAAGCAGAAGTGGGTAAATTTTAGTCTCCCCTTAGCTATAGAAGCTGCTTCTCTCTTTCTCATTTTCTTATTCTCTCTCTCTCTCTCTCTCTCTCTCTCTCCCTCCCTCTCTCACATTCTCTCGTTCTCTCTCATTCTCTCTCTCATTCTCAAGCTCAAGGACTCCACAGTTCAATCCCAAACTATTTTTATTCTGTTCAATACAATGTGTGTGTTGTATTACAACTCAGATCTGCAGGAATGTGCATGGTATAATGTAGGCCTTGGCATCAGCTGTGTGCCATAGACAGCAGAGATCTTGCTAACTATGTGCTGGCTGCTGTGGCTGATTGCAGGGGTGTTGCAGGATAGGTCAAAAAAGTCAAGATGGCCACCACAGTGCTGCGACTGAAGCTAGAACAATCCCTAGGGACTCAGGGCGGCCTACAAAATTAAAACAATAAATATAACAATAAAAATAAGTGCATTCATACAGCATGTCCCAATCGTATCCCGCCCCCCCGGGGACATCAACCCCAGGCCTGCCAGAACAGGAGAGTTTTAATGGCTTTCTTAAAGGCCGGCAAGGTGGGAGTAGTTCGAATCTTGGGGGGAAGTTGATTCCACCACGTCGGAGCCACCACAGAAAAGGCCCTTCCCCGAGGACCCGCCAGCCGACATTGTCTGGCCGACGGGACCTGAAGGAGGCCCAATCTGTGGGACCTCACCGGTCTCTGGGAACTATGCGGCAGTATGCGGTCCTGTAAGTAACCTGGTCCTAAGCCATGAAGGGCTTTAAAGGTAATAACCAACACCTTGAATTGCATCCGGAGACCCACAGGAAGCCAGTGCAGCTCGCGGAGGATAGGTGACACGTTGGTGTACCTTGGCGCGCCCACAATCACTCTCGCGGCTGCATTCTGAACCAACTGCAGCCTCCGAACACTCTTCAAGGGTAGGCCCATGTAGAGCGCATTACAGTAATCCAGTCTTGAGGTGACAAGGGCATGAGTAACCGTGAGTAGAGCCTCCCGGTCCAAATAAGGCCGTAACTGGTGCACCAGGCGAACCTGGGCAAAGGTCCCCCTGGCCACAGCCGATAGATGTTGTTCCAAATTTAGCTGTGAGTCCAGGAGGACACCCAAGTTGCGTGCCTGCACTGAGGGAGGTAAATTTACCCCCCCCCCAGGACTAATGATGGCCCATCAGGATGACCCTTGGGGGGCAAGACCCAGAGCCACTCGGTCTTGTCAGGGTGGAGTCTAAGCCTGTTCAAGGTAGTCTGTTCGAAGTTACAACAGCGCTGAAAAAAGTGACTTAGGACTGTTTTTCACACTTACGACCATTGCAGCATCCCCATGGACTCATGATGACAATTCAGACACTTGGCAACTGACTCATATTTATGACGGTCACAGTGTCCCGGGATCCTGTGATCACCTTTTGCGATCTTCTGACAAGCAAAGTCAAGGGGGAAGCCTTGCGACCGTATTGCTAACTTAATGACTGCAGGGATTCACTTAACAGCTGTGGCAAGAAAGGTCGTAAACTTGGGCAAAACTCACTTAACTGTTTCACTTAGCAAGAGGAATTTTGGGCTGAACTGTGGCTGTAAGTCGAGGACTACTGTACACATAATAATGGGTGGGGCTTCAATTCCACCATCTTGACTTTTTTTGCCTTGCTTTCCCTGCAAGGCTGGTTCCTGATCCATATAAGAGTCCTAAATAATCCTAATTAAGTTTTTCTTTTTAAATATGCCATGGATGGTTTAAGAACAGGCATCTTAATGTTTGCATTTGCAACACGGTGGGACAATCTACTGAATCAGCCAGCCAGAGGAGTTTCCAACACACACACACACACACACACACACACACAATGAAATTCATGGGATAATGAGACAGAACAGGCACATTTAATGGCCCCTCTTTTTTTCCTGCGTGGCCATTTCTGGGCTCATTAAACACGCCGGTCTTTTCTCTTGTTTTGCAGCCCTTGTTGTGCGGTTTCTCACCAAGAGGTTCATCGGAGACTACGAAGCCAACACGGGTACGTCCAGCTGCTGCCTTGTGGGTTTTGATGGCAACCAGTGGTGCCTGTGTCTGTCTGGATCCAGAGATTGGAAGGGCGAGTGGGTGGCAACTCCCAGCATCTGGGAAGAGAACGGAGCCAGTCCAGAGGAGGGTGGGGGGGTCTGTTTCTAGGGATTCAGAAATGTCCCATTTTCAAATTATTCTGCTTTCCGATCATCATCATCACGAGCAACGATAGTCGTAAATCAAAGCTCTGTGATTTTCAGCCTGTTCCCTCCATAGAGGAGGGACCTGTTTTTTTAAGGCAGCATTGCCTCCATTGGGAGGGAGCTGAGAGATGACTTTCCCCAGACCCAGTTTTAATTAGAAAAACAAAAGATCAAAGGATCCTGCCATGCAGCCACTGAACAAACAGAGGCCATCTCTGTTCCACGAAGAACGGGACTGAAAGCCTGTTCAAAAGAGCAGCTTCAAAAGAGAGGCTTCTGTTTGCTTCTAGTGGTATGAAAAAGGGAGAAGGGGGGTGGGCTCTGAGTTTTAAGGGAGGGGGCTTTTGTCACCTGAATTGCCCCAAATCCAATCTGTGTGTCTCGCTGGGCAGTAAGCAACAGCTTGATCCTCTTTGCAATAGAAATTCCAGCTTTCCTAAGAGTAAAGTACGCTTGGGAACGCTTGTAAATTCAACATTAAGAACGAAGATCTGTAAAACTGTTTGCAGTTGGAAAATACTTTAGGAAAATGCACCACTCAGAGAGGATTGGGGAGAAGTGTTTTGCAGCTCACACAAACCCAGCTGGAAGAGGCCTTCTGTCTTCAGTGTAAACCTGGAAAAAAAAAGGTAACTGCTTTCACCATTACGTTAAGCCAGGCAATGTTTCTCAATCTCAGCAACTTTAAGATGGGTGGACTTTAACTCCCAGAATTCCCTAGCCAGCACAGCTGGCTGGGGAATTCTGGGAGTTGGAAGTCCACCCATCTTAAAGTTGCTGAGATTGAGAAACACTATTCTACAGTAAAGGGGAATGTTAGTTATGCAGTGGTTTAAATTGCCCTTTTATATTCTGGGACTTGGTCCAGACGCCTTAAAGTGACCAGCATTGAGAAACATTTATTGAATGATTGTCAAGATTTTTGCAGTCCAAATACAGAGGGCCTTTGCATTCCTTCATGATAATAATGTAGAGGGAAAAAAAAAACCAATTAGGTCGTCCTTGATTTATAAAAGTTCCTTTTGTGACCGTTCAAAGTTACAATGGCACTGAAGAAGTGACTCACGGCCCTTTTTCACAGTTACGAGCTTTGCAGCATCCCCATGTGATAAAAATTCAGATGTTTGGCAACTGGCTCATGTTTACGATGGCCACAGTGTGTCGGGGTCACATGATCCCCTTTTGCAACCTTCTGACAAGCGAGCTCAGTTGTGGTCATAAGTTGAGGACTACCTGTATGGCATCTTATTTTACTTTTCTGGGCCCCTTCTGTGCAGAAAAATGTAATATGAAATTTCATTAAAAATGTGGGAATAGTATGAACCTACTCACTTTAACTAAACTCTTAGAAACTACCCTACACCACGCATTCCCCAACTGGCTACCTGTTGTAACTCGGGTCCACATAGCACATACATGACTCATCTGTGCACCTCACAATGCATGCACACATTTCATGCCAACAAATGTCTCACTTAACAGACATTTTGGGCCCAGTTGTGATCGTAAATTGGGGACTGCCTTACAGTGGTTTGAGAAGACTATGTGGAGTAAGAAAAATGGCTACTAAAATGCAAATTTGACAAATCAGCTCTCTGGAAATAAGGAAGCAATGAAATGGATAGGTCTGCAAATTGGGGAAACTGCTTATTGGTTTAAATGAATTTATTAACGGCTGCAGACAAAGGAACTCTCAGCCGTTTATAGAAGCAACAGCTGCAGCTCATGCAATAACATCAATAAAACTTCAATACAATCTTGTTCCTTTTTTTCTTTGTTTTTTTGCCTGCTGCCAGTGTTGAAATTTCATATCCAAAAAGCTTTTGCCTGTTCTCAGTGTCATGCCTTGGTTGGATACCCTTGTAATGATGATGGTGTGGGAACATAAATTTGTAGTGGTCAACCAACAGCTGATGACCCTAACCTTAAAGTTAGCCCTAACCCACAGGTGGGGAAACCTTGGCTCTTTTATGACTTGTGGCCCAGAATTCCTGAGCCAGCAGCTGAAGTCCACAAGTCCTAAAAGAGCCAAGGTTTCCCCACTCCTGTCCTAACCCACTTAGCAGGCAAAAAAGGAACAAGGGCCCTAATAGATAATGAAAGAACAACAACATATCCTTAGAGTTCCAACATTGCAATGAAAATAATATTCCTGGCACTCAGGAGCTCAATTGTATTCAAAACCTCAAGGCCCTTTGGAACAATAAGGTTCTTATGAGTCTCCAAGAGACCTTCCCCTTGCCTTGAGTGCCATCTGTTTTAGAAGAAGGGAGACCCCCTCAGAACACCAACTTTAGGGTCTCTTCTCATCTCATAGAATCATAAGGAGGTCTTCTAGCCCAACAACGTCAAAGCAGGAGAATTTATACCATCCCGATCAAGTGGTTGTTCAATCTCTTCTCGAAAACCTCCAGTGATAGAACAGCACCCACAACTTTCAGAGGCAAACCATTCCATTGATTAATTGTTCTCACTGTCAGGAATAGAATAGAGCTGGAAGGGACCATGGAGGTCTTCTAGTCCAGCCCCCTGCTCAAGCAGGAGAACCTACCGTTTCAGAGAAGAGACTGTCTAGTCCAGGGGTAGGCAACCTTGGCTCTTTTATGACTTGTGGACCTTCAACTCCCAGAATTCCTGAGTCAGCATGGTTGATTCAGGAATTCTGGGTATTGAAGTCCACAAGTCATAAAAGCGCCAAGGTTGCCTACCCCTGATCTAGTCTCTTCTTTAAAAATTTCCAGTGATGGAGCACCCACAATTTCTGAAGGCAAAGCTGTTCCACTGGTTAATTGTCCTCGCTGTTAGGAACTTTCTCCTTACTTCTAGGTTGGGTATCTTTTTAATGGTCTTCCACCCATTACTTCTCGTCCTGCTCTCAGGTGGACCCCCTCTTCTCTATTACAGCCCCTTAAGTACTGGAAGACAGATATCACATCGCTCCTAACCTTTCCCCTTTTTAGGCTAGAAATAACTAGTTCCCTTAACTCAGAGGTCTTCAAACTTGGCCCTTTTATGACTTGTGGACTTGTGGCACACTGGCTGAGGAATTCTGGAAGTTGAAGTCCACAAGTCATAAAAGGGCCAAGTTTGAAGACCCCTGCCTTAACTGTTCATCCCATGCAGTGGTGGGATTCAGTCGGTTCTCACCAGTTCGGCAGAACCGGTAACTACTTTTTTGTTGCCCAGGCCCAGAATGGACTTCCGGAAGCGGCATCCACACAGAGAACCGGTTGTTCATCTATTTGAAACCCACCACTGATCCCATGGTTTCACTTCCAGTAGGTGGGGATCCGCAGCATTCCTGGGGCCTATGGATTGAAACCAGTGGTAGTATTCAGATATGTGAACAATCAGTTCTCTGTGTGGATGCCGCTTCCAGAAGTCCATTCTGGGCCTGGGCAACAAAAAATTAGCTACTGGTTCTGCCGAAGTGGTGCGAACCAGCTGGTTGAAACTGACATAGGAAGTTGACATAGGAACTCCCATCAAAATGTATGTAGTCCTCCACTTATAGCCATTTGTTTTAGACCGCTTGATGTTACAGAGGCACAGAGAAAAGTGTGACTTGGAACTGGTCCTCACAACCATCCCTGGGGCCACAGGATCAAAATTCAGGCGTGTATTTACAGTAGCCTCCTAGGGTCCTGTGACCACTGTTTGTGTCCCTCTCAGCTGGCTTCCAACAAGGGGAGGATGCATGCGGCAAGCTACATTTGCTTAACTGTGTGATTCCCTTTACAACTGCTGTGATTTGTGTAGCATCCTGGGCAGAAAAAAAAAAAAGATTGTGAAATTGAGCCCGGCTTCCTTAAGATCAGCCTTGCTTAGCAACAGAAATTCTGCTGCTAATTGTGATCGTTTAAATTACTTTGATGCAGAAGAATACCAGACTGTGGGTGTTTTTTTAACCATGCTGCCCCAGAACCTATTTATTTTAGGGCTGCCTAACATCCTTGTGTCTGTTGAAGTTTCCACTCTTAGCAACTATTAAGGGTGCAGAAGTCCTGCTCTGCTTTTCATCTGTTTCCAAGGGCTGACAGATGTTTACACTAGCTCAGGGGTCTGCAACCTTGACAACTTTAAGACTTGTGGACTTCAGCTCCCAGAATTCTTCAGCCAGCATAGCTGGCTGAGGAATTCTGGGAACTGAAGTCCACAAGTCTTAAAGTTGTCAAGGTTGCAGACCCCTGCACTAGGAGAAAAAGGGACTGGCTGAATGCAAAATAATAAATGCTGTTACGAATTGGCATTGCTGGGGGCCTCCAGCTGATAGGATAGGAGGGTCTCTGCTTTACAAAGGCCAGTGCAGCCCAAGAGATCTTGGCTTTGGAGTTACACTTGATTAACGTAAGGTTAGGAACAGCATTTCTACGCAGGTAGTCCTTGGCTTCAACAGTTCGCTTAGTGGCCGTTTGAAGTTACAACAGCATTGAAAAAAACTGACTTCTGGCCATTTTTCACCCTTAACGATCCTTGCAGCCTTCCCCAGGATCCAAATTTGGACGTCATCAAATCAGGTACAACGCTATTAACAACCACTTTGCTTAGCAACAGAAATTTTGGTCCCCATGGTGTTTGTAAATCGAGGACTTACCTCTACGCCAATATTACCCTAGGAAGTAATATGTTCATAATGTAAAACAAAGGATGAATAGAATAGAATAGAGCTGGAAGGGATCTTGGAGGTCTTCTAGTCCAGCCCCCTGATCAAGCAGGAGAACCTATGCCATCTCAGACAAGTAACTGCCTAGCCTCTTCTTAAAAATCTCCAGTGATGGAGCACCCACGATTTCTGAAGGAATAGGATAGGATAGGGTAGGATAGGATAGGGTAGAATGTTTATATAGAATAGAATAGAATAGAATAGAATAGAATAGAATAGAATAGAATAGAAGCTGGAAGGGACCTTGGGAGGTCTTCTAGTCCAGCCCCGTGCTTGAGCAGGAGAACCCATACCATCTCAGACAAGTGACTGTCTGGCTACCTCTTCTTTAAAATCTCCAGTGATGGGGCGCCCACGATTTCTGGTGGCAAGCTGTTCCACTGGTTACAAAAAAACTGCTGGGAAAAGCGACTGCAGATGGTCCCTGAATTACAACAGTTTGTTTAGTGGCCGTTCAAAGTTACGACGGTACTGGAAAATGTGACTTAACAACCATTTTTCAGACTTGCAACTGTTGCAGTGTCCCCAGAGTCACATGATCAAAATTCAGATGCTGGCACAACTGACTCCTACTTATGATGGTCGCCGTTGTCCCCCGGGAGTCACCCGATCCCCTTTTGCGACCTTCTGACAACTAAAGTCCAGGGGGAGGCCGGATTCACTTCACAACCAACTTACCAGCTGCAGTGATTCGCTTAACGACTGTGACAAGAAAGTTTGCAAAATCAGGCAAAACTCACTTAACCCCTGGCTCACTTAGCAACAAAAATGTTCGGCTCAGTCGTGGCCGTAGATTGAGGACTACCTGTACTTTCCCATCAGATGATTCTGGCTGCTATAGAACCAACAACAGTGTCATAAAAAGATTTTTTCTCACCCTAAAACAGTGATGGGCAATGAAGGAGCCAGATGAGAAACTGAGAGTGTCGTGGTGGGTGAACCAATATAACTGCGAAGAGGCGAAAGTGGGCAGGAATGCAGGCAGTAGATTAAAAAAAAAAAAAGCAGTCATTTTCAAAATAAAAACAATACAGTCGTATTGTGTGCACGGCGGACGCGTATTTACCGTTGATTTCTGAAGGCGGTGCAGAGTGGTGAGGACGGCAGGAAAGATCATTGGCCGTTCCCTCCCTCCCATCCAGGACATGGCACAGAAGCGTTGCTTGAGCAAGGTCCGTAAGATTATCTGGGACACGACACATCCTCTCCACGACCTGTTTTCCTTGTTACCTTCTGGGGGGAGGGGACTTTGTGGTATCCATAGCAGAACATCCAGATTCAGCTATAGCAATGGTTCTCAACCTTTCTAATGCCGCGACCCCATAATACAGTTCCCCATGTTGTGGTGACCCCCAACCACTTATACATCACCGGGTGCCAGGGGCGTGGCCAAAGAAAAGGGGGAAAAATGGCGGACAGCCTTGTTTGGCGACCCCCGTGAAATGGTCGTTCGACCCCAAATGGGGTCCCAACCCACCGGTTGAGAACCACTGAGCTATAGTTTCATTCCATACAGCATTAACCTTGTGAACTCTCAAGCTTCCTCCTTCCGTTATATATTCAAGATGGACAGTATTTGATATTTATTTGCTACGTATATGTAGGGGTGTGGGTCTATATACATATGTTGTTCATAGTATGTTTAGCTGTGTGTCATATATGTGTTTCACTTTGAGCGCGGGCAACTAAGTTTCATTTTTGATGTGTGCCGTTGTGCCCACAGTAGAAAAATGACAATAAAGGTTATCTTATCTTATCTTATCTTATCTTATCTTATCTTATCTTATCTTATCTTATCTTATCTTATCTTTATGAGTGACCTCACACAAGCTGAACAGGGACAGCCCAAGGGCTGGATGTGGCCTGGGGGCCATAAAGTGCCCAGGTCTGTCCTAGTTTCTCAACCCTGGTAACTTCAAGAGGTGTGGACTTCAACTCCCAGAATTCCCCAGCCAGCATAGAATGGACCTTCAGTAATCCTCAGGTTATGACCACAACAAGCCCAACATTTCTGCTGCTCAGCAAGACAGTTGTTAAGTGAGTCTTGTCCCATTTTACGACCTTTCTAAATTTCTCCTGCTCAGCAAGACCGTTGTTAAGTGAGTCTTGTCCCATTTTACGACCTTTCTTGCCACAGTTGTTAAGTGAGTCACTGCAGTTCATAAGTGAGCAACGTGGCTGTTCAGTGAATCCGACTTCCCCATTGGCTTTGCTTGCAGGAGGTGGCAAAAGGGGATCACATGACCCCGGGATACTGCGACCGTCATAAATATGCACCAGTTGCCAAATATCTGAATTTTGATCGCGTGACCGTGGGACTTGCTGCAACGGTCGTAAGCCACTTTTTTGATGCCTTTATAACTTTGAACAGTCACTAAATGAATGGCTGTAAGCTGAGGACTTCCCACATCCATTCTAAATAAGTTCAGATCACCAGGACCAGATGGATTACTTCCCAGGGTTGAAAAGGAGCTGGCAGGTGTGATCTCAGAACCACTGAATGTGACCTTTCAAAGTTAGTTAGCTGAGCTGCAGGGTGGTGCGTTCTACACACAGAGGCTCTTGTGCGATGCTCTTTATCATGAGTATTTTTGGCATGGCCTTGTGACACAATGGAAACTCGGCTCCAGAGAGTTGGCTCCCTGTAAACATTTCGGTGCATTTGTTCCCATTCCTGGCCACCCAGTTGAGCAGAGATTTTTCAACAAACCACAATAGAGGCAGTTTGCACAACCCAGTTTTGCAAAGACTTCAGGTAGTTTTTAAAGATGAGTTTAGATCAATGTTTCTCAGCTTTGGTGACTTTCAGATTTGTGGATCTCAACTCCCAGAATTCTCCAGCCAGCCATGTTGGGCCTCATCTCCCAGAATTCCCCAGCCAGCCACACATCTGAAGGTCATCAATGTTGACTGGTGAAGGAGCAAAGTCCAAAGGATAATGCACAATTTGTCATATTCCTGCAGGAAGATCCCTGGAAACTGACTTTTAACTCAGTTGGGTAAAAGTCTACACTCTGGCTTATTTAATATTCCATAACAGCATCTCTAAAAACCTTTTACCTAGTTTCATTTTATGAAATGTAATTATTCAAATACTCCCCCCCCCCTCTGCTTTTGAGTATTTTATTGTTAGCAACAGTAGACTGACTGGAGTTAAAACATTTGCACAGTCATCCATAAAAAGTTTCGTGATGATAAATTAGTTAAGCAGCCCAAATCAGACTGTTGGTTGATTTTGCTAGGAAAAAAATATCTTTGACTCTCCTGGACCAAAGATAGTCAGGCTGTGATTAGTGCGGCAGGACTAAGTGTAAGTTAAAAATGATAATTGGTCCCGTGTGAAAAGGAAAAAAATTAAAAAGAAGTTTAAAAGATAGAGTGGCTGGGATTAGGTTGTGCTCTTCACCCCCGAGGCAGGAGCTGAATTATGGACTTACTGAATTACGGTGCAGAGAGTGGTGAGGACGGCCAAAAAGATCATTGGCAGCTCCCTCCCTCCCATCCAGGACATGGCACATAAGCGTTGCTTGAGCAGGGTCCGCAAGATTATCTGGGACACGACACATCCTCTTCACGACCTGTATTCCCTGTTACCTTCTGGGGGGGGGGACTTCGTGGTACCCATAGCAGAACATCCAGATTCAGCCAGAGTTTCATTCCATACAGCATTAACCTTGTGAACTCTCAAGCTTCCTCCTTCCGTTATATATTCAAGATGGACAGTATTTGATATTTATTTGCTACATATATGTAGAGGTGTGGGTTTTTTTTATATAAATTTATCTTTTTGTTGATACCAATAACATAACTTTACATTCATTTATTGGTTTTTCATGTAACATTTTCATGCTTTTTGCATGAAAAACTGACAAGCTCTAACAAGCTCAGATTAAATGACAAGGTTCCACTGTTGTAATATGGAGCCAAATTCCAAATCCCTGACCAGGTCATTTAATTCACTCTGTGAAATTGGATGTGGTTCAGGAGGACAGACGGTGGGCTAAAGTTTGGGTCCGTTGACGTCAACGGTTCCGGATCAGCTGCATCCTTTTTTTTAAAATAATTTTTTATTTTTCCAAACTCTCCCCCATACATATACTGTGATATTTATCAGATGTTAACATTCATTCTTTTTACATTCATATATAAGATACTTTTAATAAAATGAAATAAATACATACACATGGCTTTTGGTGTTGCTCGCCCATTTCCCCTTTCACTGTATCCACACTCCTTTTCTACCTTCTTTCTCCCTTTCTTCTCTTCCCTACTTGCCTCTTAGGGGTGTGGGTCTATACATATGTTGTTCATAGTATGTTTAGGTTTGCGTCATGTATGTGTTTCACTTTGAGAGCAGGCAACTAAATTTCATTTTTGATGTGTGCCATTGTGCCCACAGTAAAAAAAATGACAATAAAGGTTATCTTATCTGAATTCCCTGGAAGGAGATTCAGATTGGATTTAGGAGAAAATATCGGGAAGGGAAAGGAAAGGGAAAATTACTACCACTAGTAGCTATAACCGTTACTTACAACCATTCATTTAGTGACCCAAGTTACACTGGGGCAGAAAAAAGTGACTTATGACCATTTTCCAGACTTATGACCGTGGCAGCATCCCCAGGGTCACATGATCAAAATTTGGGCGCTCGGCAACTGACTCATTCTTATGACGGTCGCCGTGTCCCAAGGTCACGTGATCCCCCATTGAGTTCTTCTGACAATCAAAGTCAATGGGGACGCGAGATTCCCTTAACAATTGCAGTGATTCGCTCAACAACTCTGGCAAGAAAGGTCATAAAATGGGGCAAAACTCAACTGTCTTGCTTAGGCAACGGTAATTTTGGGCTCAATTGTGATCATAAGTTGAGGCCTACCTGTATTAATAATAATGGATTAATAATAATACTTTAGTAATTATACAATAATAATGAATAATAATGTATTAAACTTATGGGCTTCCCAACTCAGAACGTTCTTGCATTAGAAGCAAGCAAAGTGAAATCCTTTAAAATACTATGCATCATTACTTATAAGAGTGAGGGGACTCTTTGGGGCAAAACTGGCGGAGAGTCAAATAAATACACGCTATCTCTGATCTATTAATTATCTTCTTGCTTTTCTTTTTTTCTTTCTTTCTTTAGGTGCTTTATACTCCAGAAAATTCACCATTGATGGAGAACAGATTTCCTTGCAAGTCCAGGACACCCCATTTGTTTCTCTGGAGGTATAAAGCGTTATTCCAAATAAAATTTGATCTTTTAAGAAATGCAGCCAAGGTATCCATAGGATGTGATCGAAATACAGGGTGTCCTCGACTTAAGGACAGCTCATTTAGTGACCAAAGTTACAACAGTGCTGAAAAATATGAGTTATGACTGGGTTTTGCACATATGACTATTTCAGCATCCCCAGGGTCATGTGATTTACGTTTGGATGCTTGATAGACGGTTCATCTTTACGACGGTCGCAGTGTCCCGGAGTCACGTAATCCCCTTTTGCAACCTTCTGACAAGCAAAATCAATGGGGAAACCAGATTCACTTAACAACTGTGTTACTAAATTAACAACTGCAGTGATTGAAGTGTGGCAAGAAAAGTAGTAAAAAGGGGCAGTACTCACTTAACAAATTTCTCACTTAGCAACATAAATTCTGAGCTCAGTTGTGCTCGTAATTCGGGGACTTACCTGTAGTGGCCACAAAGGTGCAGTGAAAACTCTATAACATACCTGAATATGGGCATAGCTGCGTCTCCAGCATCGTGACCACCATCTTGATTTTTCTGACCAAATATAACTTATTGGGACTTCAGTAAGGCATTTGATAAAGTAGATCACAACCTACTACTTGATAAGATGGAAAAATGCGGGTTAGACAGCATCACCACCAGATGGATCCGTAGCAGGCTGACCAGCCGTACTCAGCGTGTGGTCCTCAATGGAACCGCATTTACATGGAGGGAAGTGTGTAGTGGGGTGCCCCAGGGCTCTGTTCTGGGTCCAGTGCTCTTCAACATCTTCATCAACAGATTTGGACGAGGGGATAGATGGGAAATCATCGAATTGGCAGACGACACCAAGCTGGCTGGAATAGCCAACACTCCAGAAGACAGGCTTAGGATATTTGAACACTGGGCGCTATCTAACAAAATGAAATTCAATGGTGAAAAAAGAAAGGTTCTACATTTAGGCAAGAAAAACCAAATGCACAAGTACAGCATAGGTGGCACCATGCTCAATAGTAGTAACTGTGAGAGGGACCTTGGAGTCCTAGTAGACAATCACCTAAATATGAGCCAGCAGTGTGCTGCAGATGCTAAAAAAGCCAACACAGTGCTGGGCTGCATTAACAGAGGGATAGAATCAAGATTACGTGAAATATTAATACTACTTTACAATGCCTTGGTAAGGCCACACTTGGAATACTGCATCCAGTTTTTGTCACCATGATGTAAAAAAGATGTTGAGACTCTAGAAAGAGTGCAGAGAAGAGCAACAAAGATGATTAGGCGACTGGAGGCTAAAGCATATAAGGAAAGGCTGCTGGAATTGGGTATGTCTAGTTTAATGAAGAGAAGGACGAGGGGGGACATGATAGCAGTGTTCCAATATCTCAGGGGCTGCCCCAAAGAAGAAGGAGTCAAGCTATTCTCCAAAGCGCCTGAGGGCAGGACAAGAAGCAACGGATGGAAATTAATCAAGGAGAGAAGCAACCTAGAACTAAGGAGAAACTTCCTGACAGCCTCCAGAAGCTGTGAATGCTCCAACACTGGAAGTTTTTAAGAAGAGACTGGACAGCTATTTGTCCAAAATGGTGTAGGGTTTCCTGCCTGAGCAGGGGGTTGGACTCGATGACCTCCAAGGTCCTTTCCAACTTTATTATTATTATATTATTATTACTATATCACAAAAAAGAGGTTGAGAGTTTGGAAAAAAATCAGAGAAGAGCAACTAAGATGATCAAACGCCTGGAGACCAAAACATATGAAGAACGGCTGTGGGACTTGGGTTTGGCTAGTCTAGAGAAAAGAAGAAATAGGGGAGACATGATAGCAGTGTTCCAGTATCTGAGGGACTGCCACAAGGCAGAGGGGGGCAGGTTGTTCACCAGAGGGAAGGATGAGAAACAATGGTTGGAAGCAACCTGGATTTAAGGAGAAACTTCCTGACAGTGAGGACAATCAACCAGTGGAACAGCTTACCCCCAGAAATCGTGGGCACCCCATCTCTGGAGATCTTTAAGAAGAGACTAGACATTCACCTGTCTTAGATGGTGTAGGTTCTCCTGGACTAGAAGACCTCCAAGGTCCCTTCCAGCTCTGTTGTATTGTATTGTATTGTATTGTATTGTATTATTATAATCCTATGGACATCCCTGAAATCTGGACAATACATCCCAGTTGGGGAAACATTGCAAAAGAGGAAAGAAGGAAGGAAAGAGGGGGAGAGGGAAAGAAGGGAGGATCCTTGTTAGGGCATGATGCTAGATGTGAACTTGGCTTGTACCCATGCAGTGAAAGATTTATTTATTTGTTGATTTGCATTCCAAATTTCTAGGCCACCCAATTCCAACATCATAACTGGCTCTGTCCCAAGATTAATTTTCAGTAGCAGGGATAATGGCATAATTGCTGATTTCAGAGGGGGAAAAAAGAGGTAGACCGTGGTGGGAAGGGCTTGTGAGCCTCTTACCTTGTGCATCTTTCTTGATATTGAAGCTTTAGAGCCGTGATTTATGGATTAAGCAAATGGGCATCTTGTCCTTTTGCAAAGGAGACCCCGGCAGGTAAGCTGAGCCTCACCTGTCAGGCTGTTTTCAGCTCTGTTGAAAACAATAATTTCCAGCCAAGGGTTTTGCAAGCAGGTAGTTGCATGTCTGAGAGAAACACAGTTTCAGCCCTAGTTTGCTGGGAAGAAATAGAGAGATCAGTGCCTGCTTAGAAGCAGCTCTCTCCCACCACTTTTTAAAACATTTTTTTAAAATAATAAAAGAAAAAGAACAAAACACAAAGATAGTGCTAGGCTGCATTAACAGAGCGATAGAATCAAGATCGTTTGAAAGGTTAATACCACTTTACAATGCCTTGGTAAGGCCACACTTGGCATACGGCATCCAGTTTTGGTCACCACGATGTAAAAAAGATGCTGAGACTCTAGAAAGAGTACAGAGAACAGCAGCAAAGATGATCAGGGGACTGGAGGCTAAAATATATAAGGAACGGTTGCTGGAATTGGTTATGTTCAGTTTAATGAAGAGAAGGACGAGGGGGGACATGATAGCAGTCTTCCAATATCTCAGGGGCTGCCCCAAAGAAGAGGGAGTCAAGATGTTCTCCAAAGTTCCTGAAGGCAGGACAAGAAGCAATGGATGGAAACTAATCAAGGAGAGAAGCGACCTAAAACTAAGGAGAAACTTCCTGACAGTTAGAACAATTAACCAGTGGAACAACCTGCCTCCAGAAAGTTGTGAATGCTCCATCACTGGAAGTTTTTAAGAAGAGATTGGACAGCCATTTTTCTGAGGTATAGGGTTTCCTGCCTGAGCAGGGAGTTTGACTAGATGACCTCCAAGGTCCCTTCCAACTTTATTATTATTATTATTATTATTATTATTATTATTATTATTATTATTATTATTATTATTATTATTATTATTATTATGGTAGGAGAATACCAACATTGTCAAAGAGGAAGAATGGACAAATATCTCACTTAGTAACAGAAGTTTTGGGCTCAGCTGTGGTCGTAAGTTGAGGACCACTTGTAGAGCAACATAGATGATTGGGGGGGGAGGCTAAACTGTATAATGAACAGTTAAGGGACCCAGGTATGTCTAGCCCAGGGGTCTTCAGGCACGCTGGCTGAGGAATTCTGGGAGTTGAAGTCATAAAAGGGCCAAGTTTGAAGACCCCTGTTGTAGATATTGATTCAGCATCTGAGTTTCAAAGGATTGCAACGGTCGCCAAGGTTGAGAAACACTGTCTTAGGGCCTACCGTTGACTATAGGGTTAAAAATATAAAGCTCAGAAATTTTAAAAAATAAATCAAGTCAAATGTGGTCAAAAGCAGAATCTGAACTTTGTGGGAACACCATAAACTCTCAGCACATAGATTCTCACAGCTGTCAGAGGAAAGATATTTCAGCTAGGTCAGGGGTGGGAAACCTTGGCCCTTTTATGACTTGTGGACTTCAACTCCCAGAATTCCTCAGCCAGCAGTGTCTGGCGGAGGAATTCTGGGAGTTGAAGTCCACAAGTCATAAAAGGCCCAAGTTTGAAGACCTCTGCTCTACGCTGTGATTTGTTTCCTCTGGCTTAAGTTTGTTCTGTGAGGTGTGGTTGTCAACCATGGTGTGCGGATTACACAATTGAGTCCAAATTTCCTCTGGTTAAGTGAGACATTGGTCAAGGGAGTTTTGACCCATTTTGCGATCTTTCTTCTCACAGTTGTTAAGTGAATCACTGCATTTGATAAGGTAGTAACCCGGTTGTTAAGTGAATCTGACTTCCCCCTTGACTTGTCAGAAGGTCGCAAAAGGGGCCCACGTGATCCTGGGATCCCATCATAAAGAGGAGCCAGTTGGCCAAGCATCTGAATTTTGATTGGGTGATCCCGGGGATGCTGGAATGATCGTAAGGGTGAAAAACGGTCATAAGTCACCTTTTTCAGGGCCGTGGTAACTTTGAACGGTCACAAAATGGACTGTTGTACGTCGACGACTATCTGCACTAACCCAGCAATTGGTTTCCTTAACAACCTCTGGCCTAGCCCAGTGTGTGTATCTGGTTTTGATCTTTTGCCAAGCAGAACTTAACTCTTTGCTCCTGGTTTTCGATGACAGGATGAGAACGACACCATCTGTTGCCAGGAGCAGATAAACCGGTCCATTTATTGGGCTGACGGCTTCGTCTTCGTCTACTCCATCACGGACTATGAAAGCTACCGCGTCATCCGCCCGTTGCACCAGCACATCCGGAAGATTCACCCCAACGCCAACATCCCTTTGCTGCTGATGGCCAACAAAGGCGACCTGCTCCGAGCCAGGCAGGTGTCCACAAAGGAAGGCCACCAACTGGCCAACGAGCTGGGCTGCCCATACTCGGAGGTCTCCGCGCGGGAGAACTGCGAAGGGGTCCACGAGGCCTTTCAGCAGCTGTGCCAGGAGCTGAGTCGGATCATTGGGAATTGCAACGGGGAGAAACGGAGGGGCCTCCATCTCGTCCGGCCCAAATCCCCCAACATGCAAGAACTGAAAAGGAGGCTGAAGCAAGCCTTATCTTCGAAAGGCAAAACTGCCACCATGCTCTGAGGGATTTCGGAGTGACCGTTTGGGCTGGGCCACAGCAGGCCGAGAAAAGCGATGTGGGCCGGTTGACGGTCAGCTTGCCAGCTGTTTTGGGGTGGTGGTGAAAGAATCCCTTTCCAGAAATGAGACTGGGATGGCTGGGGATTTGGGGATTTAAGCCCTTTCACTAGACCAGGGGTCTCCAAACTTGGCAACTTTGAGACTTGTGGACGTCAACTCTCAGAATTCCCCAGCCAGCATGGAATTCTGGGAGTTGAAGTCCACAAATCTTAAAGTTGCCAGGTTTGGAGACTCCTGCACTAGATGATGACCGAGAGGGCCAAAAGAAACGGGGTGCCTTCATTCTCAGGATTAATTTCAGCTTCTTCACCTGTACCGGACAAACAGGTGAATGAATACCTGTATCTGTCCCCTCCAATTTGGCTTCAGTCATCATCTTGGTTCTTTCCCCATATGTCAGACAACTGTCTTCTCTAATGTTCAGGTGCCAAATGTATGTTCATGTATGGCCCTTAAAGGAAAAAAATAACCACCCATGTAAATGTCTAATCATGGTTATGGAACTGGCCAGATAAGAGGAGAGATGGTTGGTGGTCTCTCCATTGGACAATCAGCTCCTGCTGCAGAAGAAACTTCTGACTTCCTCTTTCACCATATCAACAACCAGCACAACTTTTTAAGAGTAGAAGAGAAAAACGTCCGTCCTTCCTTCTCCTTCCTTCCTTCCTTCCCTCCCTCCCTCTCCTTCCTTCCTTCCCTATTCTCCCTCCCTCCTTTCTTCCTCCCTCTTCCTCCCTCCCTCCCCTATTCTCCCTCCCTTCCATATTCTTCCTCCCTTCCTTCCTCCCTCCCTTCTTTCCTTCCCTATTCTCTCTCCCTCCCTTCCTTCCGTATTCTTCCTCCCTCCCTCCCTTCCCTATTCTCCCTCCCTCCCTCCCTTCCTTCCTTCCTTCCTTCCTTCCTTCCTTCCTTCCTTCCTTCCTTCCCTCCCTATTGTTCCTCCCTCCCTCCCTCTTCCCCCATACCAACAACCAGCACAACTTTTTAAGGGTAGAAGAGAAAAAAAACACCATTATTTTCTTTTCCTTATTTCACAACGGATTATTTCTGAGGACTAATCCATAGTTTATCTGTAGCCATCCAAACACTTGAAATGAACGACTTGTTTATCATTACAGATGACCTCATAAATGTTACAAACGATCTGCAGTTTTGTTGTTCATACATTGAATGAATGAAATTCACTGAGGAGTTAATCTGGTTTGAGCACATGGAAACTACAGGTAGTCCTCAATTTACGACTGTTTGTTTAGTGACCGTTTGAAGTTAGGACAGCACTGAAAAAAGCGACTTAAGATCCGCCTTGCACCAACGGCCGTCCCCACAGCCACAGGACTGTGCTCTCTGGTGCTTGGCAACTGTTGCACGTTTATGGCGGTTGCAGCGTCTTGGGATCACGTGACCCTCATTTTCAACCTTCCCAGCTGGCTTCCCCTATGCAAAGTCACTGGGGAAGCCAGCAGGGAAGGTTGCAAATCAAAATCCCATGATGTCTCAATGATTGGCGAGTCTTTTAAAAACTGTGATCAAAAAGATCATAAAACTTGGTGCGGACATTGGATGCCTCCCTTAACAATCATGCCATTTAACAATGACTTTTTAGTCCCAATTATATTCATAAGTTCCATCCTCCCGAGGCGGGTAAAAATGAGGACCCAGATTGTTGGGGGCAACAGGCTGACTCTGTAAACCGCTTAGGGAGGGCTGTAAAGCCCTGTGACGCAGTGCATAAGTCTAAGGGCTGTTACTGTTACCTGTACCAGAACTAATGAATGCATTTCTGTACTGGATTGTGGGCATGAAGTGTGTCCTTAGCCCTAAATGAGTAATGTCCAGCCCTTTCTTACCTTTGATCCCCTATACTCCCGTAGCTTTGCTTGAACTTCAATGATAGAAGCAAATTGTGGCGAAGAGACCAGCCTTCTGTTGAGTAAACCATTACAGCCAATATCTAAGGGGGCTGCCCCAAAGAAGAGGGAGTCAAGCTATTCTCCAAAGCCCCTGAAGGCAGGACAAGAAGCAACGGATGGGAACTAATCAAGGAGAAAAGCAACCTGGAACTAAGGAGCAATTTCCTGACAGGATAATTAGCCAGTGGGACAACTGGCCTCCAGAAGTTATGGGTGCTCCATCACTGAAGGTTTTTAAGAAGAGATTGGACAACCCATTGGACAACTCTGATGTGGCACAGCATCTCCTGCTTGAGCAAGGGGTTGGACTAGAAAACCTCCAAGGTCCCTTCCAACTTGGTTATTCTGTTAGGTATGGGTGTCTGTAATTTCAGGATTGCGTGCCAATAGTCAACTACTGTGTGGTAGCCTGAAGATCTGAAACAGCAACAACAATTGAGCCATTATTCTAAACCAGTGGTTCTCAATCTTTTTAATGTCGCGACCCCAACCGGTCGTAAGTTGAGGATTAAATCGGTCGTAAGTCGAGGACTAAACCAGTCGTAAGTCGAGGAAACCCAACTGGTCATAAGTCGAGGACTTTCCCTGCCCGAGAGCACTGCACATGCATGGTGCCGCCCCCTGCGCCGGCTGAGGCATAGCTGGCAAGCGGCAGAGACGGAGCAGGCCGACCACCGGCTGGGCCACCAGCTGGCCCAGCCCAAGGGAGGTAAGGCACCCGCTGGAAAAGGGGAAAAAAATGGCAGACAGCCTTGCTTGGCGACCCCCGTGAAATGGTCGATCGACCCCAAATGGGGTTGCACCCATAGGTTGAGAACCGCTGTTCTAAACAGATTTCCCCAACTTGATGTCTTCAGACCGAAGCGATATATTCTTTCTATAGGAATAAATAAATAAGACAATATGTCTGAAACAGCGAATGAACCAAGAGTAATGGGGAAACGGATTCTAGTTACCAGGGAACTGGCTTGTTTTAAAAAAAGAGATTGGGAAACTGAGGCAGAGTACTTAAGATCAACAATGGCATCCCGTAGAAACAGGAGAACCCAAGTGGAATGGCTGGAGACAGCTTGACAGACACCCAAGTGGAATGGCTGGAGACAGCTTGACAGACACCCAGCCATCCAGGCTGAACGTCAGTTATTGGATACGGACTAGCAAGAGAGGTCAGCTGGAGACTTGTCTGAGTTATAGACTTTGAAGTGATCGTTGTTCCTGCCATTGCTGGAGACAGATCAATTGCCAGACTGAGCCCATCCAGCGACTGATCTGCTCTTATTCTGAATCAGCCCTGTTAGAAAAAAAAACAACAGGATTAGAAGTATCAACAGATCTGAGATGGCATTTCCACGGTGGAGTCGTCCCTACCATCAAGTAGAAATAGTAGGATTGTCCCTGCTTTCTTTCCAGTTGCGGAAATGGGCCCCCCAAACTCAAAAGTATCAGGAGCAGAGAGGTGGAGCTGTAAAATCTCTGGGGCTGCAGTGTGGAGCCTGCAGGAGGTCCTTGACTTACAACAGTTCATTTAGCAACCAAAGTTACAATGCCACTTTGAGGAGAAGCGAAACGTCTTCAAGGAAAAACCAACATGTCCAATTGCCTTTTGAAAAAGCGCCTATGGGGCAACCATGACCTGGATGCCTGAGAATCTCCACAGGCAAGATGGCAGATTGCTGAGTAGGCATCACTTTGCTGTCTGGCCTCTAATGGGATGAGTAACCATCATCTTCATCTCTGTGGTCATTACGTGAATTTGGCTGCTGCCGTTGATTTTGCTTGTTGGGAAGGTTGCAAATTGTGATCATGTGACTGCAGGATGCTGCCGGTTGCCAAGTGCCCCAGGTTTTGTTCATGTGATGGTACAACAGTCTTAACCTTTTACCGAGTTATGTAAGTCACTTTTTCCAGGGCCGTTGTTAACTTCCAACCATCATTAAACAAATGGTTGTAAATGGAGGACGGCCTGTATTACAGCAGCAAAGCACCGTTTAGTGACGGCCTCAATGGTAAGAATGCGTTTGAGTTCCACTTCGACTCCATCAAGGTTGGCAGAAAATAAAAACAGTGGGGAGGGGTCTTGCCCGGGCTTTTGGGGGAAGCCTTTTCACTAGAAAGATGAGCCTGGAATGAGAGGAAGCAACTTGGGGGTGTGTGTGGCAGGAGGGCACAAGGAGAAAGCAATCTCACTTAGGGACCAATGGGTAGATGGTGACCCATCACACCCACCATGGACGCTTCTTGTGAGGAGATCCCACCAGCGGTGGGATTCATATATGTGAACAACCAGTTCTCGGTGTGGATGCCGCTTCCGGAAGTCCATTCTGGACCTGGGCAACAAAAAAATAGCTACCGGTTCTGCCAAACTGGTGCGAACTGGCTGAATCCCACCACTAGATCCCACCCATTCTCTCGGCCTTCCCATATGTCTCCTCGTTCTCCTTTTTCCTTAAGGATCGCTGAACTCTAGGCACACATCTTTCTTTGGTCCACAGTCACGTTTCTTATTATAATAATATTATATTATGGAATATTATTGTCTATTTTGAGACATAACTGTTATGAAACTTGAGGGTGACTTACAGGTACCACGAGTAAAACCTCAGATCCTCATTTTTGCACATAAACGGGCCACGGTTAAGTCCTGGGAAGGTCAACTTACGTGAAATATCTTGGACAAGAAATTTCCTGGGATTCCAGCATGCTTGACTGAATCCTAGGAAGTAGGACTGGAGGATGCATCAGAGAAAAAGGTGAAAATTGGTGTGGTTCAACTTGCCCTTCGACCGGTTCTTTATAGCAAAGGATGAAAATCCAGGACATTTACTTGTACTGATCTTTGCTTAATAGTTGGGTAGCCAAGTTAAAAGAGAAAATTCTGTAGTGGCTCAAACTAATTCTAAGCATGTTTACTTCTGAGCAAACACCCTTAAATTCAGGAGGTGGTAATTATCACGCATAAGTACACTCTTATAAGTAATGATGCATAGTATTTTAAAGGATTTAATTGGCAAAAAATCAATTGCTGCCCATTTATGAGGGGAAAGATGGAGGGCAATAGAAGAAGGGGATGACAGAGAATGAGGGGGCTGGATGGAGTCATTGAAACAGTAGGTGTGAGCTTCAATGGACTCCAGAAGATGGTAGAGGACAGGAAGGCCTGGAGGAACGTTGTCCATGGGGTCGCGATGGGTCGGACACGACTTCGCAACTAACAACAACAACTATGCTCTTGGTGTGCATTTAGAAATTGTGTTTCAGTGGGCAGAAGGGCATGTTTCAATTGTGACTTTTTCATGCTATTCCCTTCCATGTTTATTCAATCTGTAAGGAATAAGGACACCAACCATGTGGGTTTGCATGCTGGGACCTTGTTAGACTTTCCTAAGTCCCGTCAAGGATTTCCCCAAGTCCTCTTCTAAACATCTACAGGTAAGTCCTCGACTTATGACTACAACTGAGTCCAAAAGGTATGTTGCTAAGGGAGAAATTTTTTTCAGTGAGTTTTGTCCCATTGGACGACTTTTCTTGCCTTGTTTGTTAAGCGAATCACTCCCATTGTTAAATTAGTAACATGGTTGTTAAGTGAATCTGGCTTCCCCATTGACTTTGCTTGTCAGATGGTCGCAAAAGGGGATCACGTGACCCCCCCCTCCGGGACGCTGCAACAGTCATAAATACGAGGCAGTTGCCAAGCCTCTGAATGTAAAACACATGACCCCGGGGATGCTGCAACGGTCTGAAGTGTAAAAAACGGTCATAACAGTTCACTTTTTTTCAGTGCCGTTGTAAATTTGAATGGTGACTAA